CAGTATTTGCTTTCCTAGTGAAGGTCCAATCCTGCTCCACCTGCGTTGTGTAGATGAGGAAATTGGGTCCAGAAAGAGGAAATGGATTCCGTAAGGCCGTGCAGCTAGTCAGTGTCCCACCCCCTTTCCGGACCAGTGGTGTTCCCACTGCTACCTGCCTGCCGTGAGAAGGGCTTTCTGCAGGAGGCAGCCAGGCTGGAGGGAAGGAGGTGGTTACCCAGCACAGCTTTCCACTTCCACTTTAGGAATGCGAGACACGTAGCTTTGTTCTGTCTCCATAATTAATTATGCTGACACTATCTTTAATTAGTAGTTTTCAAACCGTATTACAAGCTTCAGTAACCAAATGCTTGGACATAATTATATGCCAAAAGGACTGTACTTTTTAATTGAAATTCTTCAGTTACTTTTAAGTTATTTGCAGAGAACGTGGTTTGGGTACTATAATTCATCAGACTCGCCTGAAGGTTTTTGTTCACGCAAACGGGACATTGGAACCCGGGAAATCGACACTCGGGGTTATGCAGTGTTATCAACATGGACTTGATCATAATTCCACATGTTTAGCCCTGATAAATAGGTTTTATTTATGAATGCGTCTTCATAATTATAAGAGTTTTTGGAATAGTCAGTAGCAGAGGAGATAGTCACCATGGAAAGGATGTCACTGAATACTTTGTTTTTAATTGCCGGAGAGCATGTGCACTTGCCAGAGAAGCAGGGAGGGAGAAACCTCCCGGGGGGGCGTGGTCACACCGCAATTCTTTCTCTCCATCCCTGGGATGTGGGATATGCAAGCACACATTCTCCTGGTGTGTTTTTCAGGCCACCAGGGCTGGAATTCAAACTATGGTGGCCATGTGGGATCCATCTCCCGTAAACACTAGGCCACAGGGCCAACCCAAAAGCTTTTTTTTTTCTTTTTTAGTTTTTGCTACAGGGTGCACGCCCTCACTGGAGAGACTGAGACAGAAAGAGAAATGGAAAGTGAACTCACCCCCCAGGGGGATGGCCACATTGCAATCCTTTTTCCTCCCTTTTCCTCTTGGGATTTTAGACATGCACACACTTGTGCCTGGTATGTTTTTTTTTTTAAGAGTTATTTTTTTAAATTCTATTTACTTATTTCAGCTTGACCAGAGAAGGACAAAGCATGGGAGAGAAAGCGAGAAAGCAAGCCATCAGGTCCGGGACTCTTGCCACAGTTGTCATGGGGGAGTCTAGTGCCCTTAACCAGCACGTCACCTGCCAGCCCCTGCCTGGTATGTTTTTCAAGCTGCTAGGTTTGGGACTTGAACCGTGGAGTTGGCTATGTGGAATCTAGTCTCCTTAACCTTCAAGCTACCTGCTGGCGCACTGCAAACGCTAATGAAAAGGATTTTGGAAGATGAGAACAAAATCTGGGCCTGGTTTTGACTTGCTACTCCCAGTACCACCTGGAGCAGGTCATTCATTCTCTCTGGGCCTTGGTTTGTTTCTCAAATGAAGAGCAACTAAACCATCCCTTCTCAAACTGTCAATGGGCAAAGTCCAGCATTTCATTCTAATCCCTCGAGCACCAGTACTGATGGTGCCTAAGAGCCGTTCTGCCTTAGCTCATACGGTCCTAAGTGAGAGTAGTAGTCCTCTCGCCTCACAGACCTGAGGACAAGTCAGTCCTGGACAAACCTCTGAACAGTTCTGGTGGACGTGTGTGTTTCACAAGGCAGGCGTGCCTGAGTGGCTTTGGAAGTCAGAGCACTACTCTGGTAAAGAATTTGATTTCTTGGGACCAGCAGATGGCATAATTAATCGCTGGACTCCCACATAGTCAACCAGGGTTTGAGTCCCACACCTGGCAGCTTAAAATTCATGCTGGGTGCATGGGCGCGTGTGCCCAAGATCCTGAGAGGAGAATGGAGGAGAAGGGATTGCAATGTGGCCATCCCCCAGGGGATGGGGGTGGGGGGTGATTTTTCACTTTCTATCTCTCTGTCTCTTTCTTTCTCTCTGGTGAGCACACACACACTATAGCAAAAATCTCTCTCTGAAAAAAAGAATTTGATTTCTTATATTTTGTACTTGTGTAAGCAAGTATTTGCTTTTTTTCTTACTCATTTCTTTTCTTTTGCAGCTTATCAAATATGGGGTGATTAGCACTAGTGTCCTGATTGAAGATCTCCTCAACTGGAATACTTTATATGTCGCTGGTCGACTTCAAAAGCCCGTGAGTGAGTGTTTTTTGTTTGCTTGTTTTTACATTTTGCCAGTG